TTGCATTAACATGCACCCACGCACGCTCAACCACCCACCCACAGAATACACACTCAAAAATGTGCAAATACAACATCCCACTCAAGTGCACATTGAACCACACACACACACACACACACACACACACACACACACACACACACACACACACACACACACACACACACACACACACACACACACACACACACACACACACACACACACACACACACACACACACACACACCCACGCACACACACACACACACACACACACACACACACACACACACACACACACACACACACACACACACACACACACACATACACACACACTTCTACTACTACTATGGGCAAGTGTCACCCCTATGAAAAGGGGACCAGAAAACGGGAGTCGGATCACAGGCAGGACCGCGAATGTCTGGCTAGGTCCTGCTGCCGGCGGAAATTGCGTTTACAATGTGGGCAGCTGAGGGGCAGAGCTGCTCTCTCAGCAGCAGATAGTCTCGCACCACGATTGCAGTTGTGACGCTTGAACCCGGCTGCAGAACGGAAGCATCGCTGACATGTTGGGCAGTGCTGCTGGCAACAAGCTGAAAGTGGCACAGACAGACTGACTGTTGGTGTAGGAGAACTCGTGACAGGCTGGCATCGATGAACAGAGTAGCCACCCTTGCTGTGGAACCACCTCTGGCAGTTCTGGCACTGCACTGATCCACGCTGGAGCTGGATGGGAAGCCGTCTCTGAGTGGTGCACTTGTGCCGCGTTCGATCGGAGACCCGCGAGAAGTTCCGGTCACACACTGCGCAATGCACAGACTTGGGCATGGTGGAGCTCGACTGAGGGGCAACCCGTACTTCCGTCTACTGTTGGCAGTCCTGAGCAAGGATGAACCACTGAGATGGCTGCTGCAGTGCAAACTTGAGGTCGGTCATCACCGTGTCCTTCCACCGTCGCCGGGGACCACAAAAAGGCCGAGGCACAGGTAGCCACCCAAAGAGGAGTTGGAGGGGGGGGGGGTGCGATCCTCATCCATACGCGCAACGTGCCCAGTCCATTCCAGACGCTGATTGCGGAGGCGTGTAGACATCAGTACTGGGTCTCCCCAACGGTCTGTGGCTGACAGCCGCTCGGACCACTGACGAGGCTTGGTGATGCTGAGGACAGTGCGGATGCATTGATGGTGGAATTTATCCAAACTTCTGATATCCCGTTGGAGTGGGGTCCAACACTCTCCGCCATACAGTAATATTGAGGAAACGCAGGCCATGTACAGGTGTCGCTTACTAGAGAGGGACAGAGACCTGTCAGTGAATACCTTCTGGAGGGCTCCGAAGGCCTTTGAGGCTTCGGCAATGCGGCGCTTGATGTCGGACGAAGAACGACTGTCAGGGGTCACTATGGATCCTAGGTAGGTGAACTTCGGCACGGCTTCGATAGTGCCAAGGGGGAGAACGATGTCAGCCGAGTCTTCAGCAGAGACCCCATGGCCCGCCGTCATGATCTTAGTCTTGGCGATGCTCACAGTTCGTCCAAATTCTCGGGCAACACTACAGAAGAGCTCCACACCAAACTCAGCATCACTACGGAATTCAGACACAAGAACGGCATCATCAGCATACTCCAGGTCACTAACAGATAGTGGCTCGCCAGCCCTGCGCGATGATGAGCGGGGGTAGAGTTGGCCATCGATGGTAAACTGGATGCTGAAAGAATGACTACGACCTGCATCCTTTAGCCGGGCACGCCATGTCTCAACAACCGCCCAGAAGTACAGGTTAAAGAGAACCGGTGCCATGACACATCCTTGTCGGAGACCATTAACCACAGGGAACTCATCAGAGGTGGAGTTGCCAACTCGGACCGAGGCAGAGGTAGAGGTGTAGAAAGCCTTAATCAGGGCCACTGGCTGTTGCGGAACCCCAAGTCGGCCCAAGGCCACCCAGAGAGCAGCGCGTGGTACAGAATCGTACGCCTTTTTCAAGTCCACAAACACACAGAAGAGCTGCTGACGATGTTCGTATGCTTTCTCGATTAGCTGGCGGAGCGAGAAGATGGCATCAACACAGCCCCTGCCTGGCCGAAAGCCGCACTGGTACTCTGGGAGTTCCGACTCAGCCAACAACTGCAGGTGATCTTGAATCATGCGGCCACACACCTTGCCAACAACATCAAGAAGGGCAATACCCCGCCAATTATCACATTTGGACAGGTCGCCCTTCTTGGGAACAGGAACCAACTCGGCATCGCGCTATTCCTGCGGAACAGTGGCCGTCGTCCAAGCAAGTTGGACGAGATCCAGCAATGCGTCCAGGGAATCATGGCCACCTGCTTTCACAAGCTCGGGGACTATAAGCGAGGAACCTCCAGCTTTGCCATTTGCAAGGTGTCTGATGGCGACGACAAGGTCTTCCATTGTTGGTGTGACTGCCAGAGACTCGTCAGGCTCACGTTGGGGGATGTTAGCAACGGTGGAGGCATTGAAGGTACTGGACATTGAGCAAGTTCGAGAAGTGAGTGGACCAGCAGTCTTCCTGCTCCTCCAAGGACTTGCAAACTATGCCCTCAGCATTACGGACCGGATGATGGATGTTGACGGATCGGAGTCCTGAATAGCACCGTTGAATGTCTCGGATAGCGGACCAAACGTGCTTACCGCTAAATTTGCCACGCTCCACGGTGCTAGCTCTCTGCTTCAACCATGCACTCTTCGCTGCACCAACTGCGGTACGACATCTACCTCGGACATCGAGGAAGCGGCGGTGGTCCGCTGGCAGCTCTGATTGACGCCACTGTTGATGGAGGCGTGTGCGCTCAGCAAAAAGAGGTTGGAGGATGTCTGCTCCTGCTAGGAACCAGTCAGGTTGTTGTCGAACGGGTTTGCCCAGGTGTGCCTCAGCGCTGGAGGTCAAGGCTGATTTGTATGCTGACCACTTGGCATCAAAGGTATCAGCTGACCCAGACGATTGCAGATGGTGTTGCACACCGGTGGCGAATTGGAGCCGAGTAGCCTGCACCGCATTAGATTGTTCGTCGGTCATACCAGGGCGGGTCATGAGAGCTTGGATGTTAAAGCGTGAACGCCGTGCTACTCCGGTGCGAAATTTGACGGTGTACGACAGACAGAACGATAAGCATACAAGATTATGGTCGGTACTACACTCCGCACTACGGATAATGCGGCAGTCTGTGCAGGCTAGCAGATCTTGCCGCCTGACAATGGCATAATCGATACAGTGCCACTTCTTCGACCATAGGTGCTGCCATGTATACTTGTGGATAGGCTTCTTGGCAAACCAGGTGTTGCACACAGTGAGGCTGTTACATGTCAAGAACTGGAACAGTTCCAGTCCAGCGTCGTTCGTTTCCCCTACTCCATTATCTCCACAAGTCCCACAAACACACACACACACACCCATACACACACAAACACACACACACACACACACACACTGCCAACTTGTGACATTTCATGGCCAAAGGCAATGAAACGCTTATAGAGCAGATAACAGGTATAGGTCACAGGATTGAGCTACATTGCAAGGAGATTGAATGTGTCGCGCCCCCAGACATGTGTGGCAAGAAAAATAGCAGAGTTTGGAGAAGAATCATCAACAGAACAATGAAGCAAACTATCTCCATTGTTGGCGGTGTCAGTCAGTGCGGAGAAGCCCAATTCATGACCGTCGTAAACCACTACATTCTGCATGCCATCAGCCGTCTCAGACCGACAGGAGATGGGGATGTCCCTAGACGCAGTTTGAGATCATGAGCAGCTGCATCTCATAACCTGTTTTTTTAATTGGACCACATCTCAAACAAGTATTGGGCAGCTGTCCAAACAGGAGTTGATTGGAACCCGGTGCAGCAACAACCAAGGTAGAGAGGAATTGGGGCAAATCCTCTGTTGCCTTCCCTTTCACAACAATAATGTTACGGGTGTCAGATGGTGAGATGTGCCCACCAACCACAAGGAATGTTATCTTGCTGCCAGTGACAGTCGAGGCCAAACACACAGACACATCTGTGAGTGTGACAGCCACCCCCCCCCCCCCAAACACACACACACACACACACACCTGAACACACGCACACCTGATCACAAACACACACACACACACACACACACACACACACACACACACATACATGCACACACCTGAACACACACACACCTGAACACACCTCAGACCTCAGACCTGCCCATCGCGGAAGCGATGATAGCGAACAGCTATGTTAGACATAACAACTTGTGCTGGGATTGCACCATTCAACAGCTTGCAAGGCTGATGAATTGACCTCCACTAATTTTAGCCTGGTATCCACCACACAGCTGATTGAAGTGGCTTTTTCTGGCCAGTGAATCCCTATTTTTCATTTTTTCCATTTTTTCATTCTTTTTTTCTTTTTCGACACACACACCACACCACATACTCCGGCATACACTGGCTGTTGGTAACCACCCAGGAGAATGAAAGAAGAGCTAGGAGAATGAGAAAGAGAAGAAAGACGTGAACACACACACACACACACACACATATATAATATATACACACACACGCACACACACACACACACACACACACCTGAACACACACACACACACGCACACACCTGAACAAACACAATTACACACACACACACACACACACAAGCACGAGTATGAAACTTTGAAGTAGCCTTATACGAGTGTTTTTTTCTCTATACTTTGTCATGTATAATCACCACCTCGTTTACTAGCCTTTTTACTTAGTTTTATCACATTCATCTGCAACTCTTATGTGTCTATTGTATCGTAAATTCCACTGGTGACCGGAGCAGAAAATCGATTCTGGAATTACACCGTGACCCATTTTAACTCTAAACGCGTTCATCTGCATGGTAATGCCTGTGGCACTAATACTGCTTATAGCGTGAATTAAACATTTGTCTCCTCGAAAACTGGTCCAAAGCATTTCTTTTCCATTTCTAAATCATCTTGATTTCTCCTGTCCATCTCCATGCCCCTCTGCAGATCACTGACAAGGACCTCTCCGAGCTCAGCACCATAGGAAGGCATGGATCAGGAATTGGCGAGTTCGACTGGCCAAGTGGTGTTGTCCAAGTGAACCACAGCGCACTGGGCCAGTGCTTTGCTGTGACAGAGTACCATAACCATCGGGTTCAGGTAATAACCAGACAGTACACACTGTACATGTACAGTTGTATTGTGTAAAATCCCTCTCCTACCCACTAACAGTGTACTGTGGTATACATAAAGATAGAACTAGCCTATATCACTGTTCAGCATCAAGTTGTGGGACTGTTTTCAATCATGTAACAGCAGGTCAATCATATGGTGTACTAGCTGTGCTAGTACTTGTTAGCAACAATCCGAACTAGCGCACACACTGCACTGCATTGCTTTGTACTGCATTCAAGACTGACGTCATGCGCTTTGTTTTGCTGCGTAATCACAAATGGCACCTGCCCATTTTGCGGAAAAGAAAAACAAATCTTGCTTGCCCTGTTGTGCTCTTCCAGACAACGGATCGTGCTTCAGCAGTGTTTCTTTTCCTTTCGTAGCTTTGCTGCCAGCCCGAGTGTCACCTCGACACTGTATTTCTTCAGTATGTCTGACCTAACTGTCGACACTGTCAAGGCAATGCCTTGCCAAGCCCCCGCGGCGAGCCTTCTCAGCGCGGCTTGAATCCGAAAGGAAACTTAGTAAAAGTATTTTACAGGACCGTTTGCTGGCACAACTAGCCCTTGGTAGTGAGGTCTGCTCCGGCCAGGAGAACCAGCAACATGACAGTGCGGACACGGCTCGCGAGCCCAGAAGCCCGACTTGCACCAATGCCTCCTCCGCCAGCTCAGGTGACGCGGGCTCAACGGATCTCTGCGCTCCCGTAGATCTACTTGACGAGGTGTAGTCGGCTTTGTCGGCCGCCATTTTATTATTATCGGGGAGCATTGTGCCGCTCCTCACCCAAGGCCAAGGCAATGCGGCTGCTGCCGCCACTACGCCAGGCCAAGCCCTTGTAACCCACCCGATCAGCCACCTGCACCAGCTGTGCCCAAGGCTGTGCAAGAACGTATCTTGCGAGGGGAGTTCGTAGATTTTTTCAAGTTGGTTGCCTGAAATTCTTGCACACTTCCGGCCCAACATTCCGGCTGGTGCACAGCCCGAATAACGATAGCCAGCTAAATATCGTTGAGTCGGATGACCGTACGCGAAGCAGGTGCGTCGCAAGGTTCACGATAATTATACATGTAACTACCCGGCTCGAGGCATGGACCACATACATGTCTGTTATCACGGCTGCTGCCCTACACCGCACTGCTGAACTGCTGAACTGATTGCGTACCAGCAGTTGATCCTGACTGCTAACCGCCAGTTCTTCCCAAGCGCGTGGCTAGAGTACGACCGCCAGCTGCGGCTGCTCGTGGCCCAGTAACCAGGCACGAAGAGGTTGGACACCATCGACGTGAACCTATGGCAGATAGCTGTCACAGGCCATGCACACCCAAAATGCGCTCAATGTAAGACGGCCCATCCAGGGGCGGTTTGTGTCCTTTTCGTCCCCAAGCCAGCAGCATTTACCTCCAGTGTTCGCAACCATACCAGCGACAGCCAAGAAATCTGCCGCAACTTCAATGGAGGTCGCTGTTCTTCGTCGTCGTGCCGCTTCTCCCACACCTGCAGCCAGTGTGGCAAGGACCACCCATGCATCATGTGCAACCAGCAGCAGCGCGGAGCCAATCGGCCACCCCGCCGCTCCTAGCAGAATGGCTACTGAATAGCTTGACTCGGTACGTAGCTTCTTTCCTATACACTCTGCAGACACCACACTGCTAGCTGACCACTTTGCCCGCCTGTTACGTAACCACTCATATCAATAATGCGTTGCGTATGTTCTCCATGGGCTGCGCCGTGGCTTTACTCTTGGATCTGCCGGCCAACACGACATTTCGGTTTTCTCTAATAATCTACCCTTGGCTTTCACTCACTCGGCATTTATATCCGAGCAATTAGCTGCTTCCTGCGCCCGCAGCGAGACCACAGGCCCATTTCCATCACCTCCATTTCAGTTCATGCGCCGCTCTGGTATTGGTGCCATCCCCAAAAAGAACGGCAAGCTGCGAATCATCCACCATCTGTCTAGTCCGGAAGGCACCGGCGCGAACGACAGCATTCCTGCCGAGCCGCTCTCTCTGCACTACGCGAGCATTGACAACGCGATCAACATCATCATGTCATGCCCACAGCCTGTGTATTTGTCCAAGCTCGGTGTACGCAGTGCATTTCGGCAGATCCCAGTCCGCCGTCAGGACTTCGCTGGGAAGGCTCCTACTACTACGAGCGCTTTCTGCCTTTCGGCCTCCGCTCCAGCCCAGCCGTCTTTGACTCAGTAGCCACAGCAGTCAACTGGATCATGCAGCACGAGTTTGCTATAGATCACCGGCTTCATTACCTCGATGACTTTCTCGATATCTCCACTGGTTTGGCTGCAGCCAACCAGCAACTCACCACCCCCCTCCGGGCATTCACGTATCTCGGCACTCCTCTTTGCTCCATCCCAGCTCGAGGGCCATCACCATCATTGACCTTGGTATTTTCCTAGACTGTGGCTACCAGAGGACAAGCTGTCCGAGATCCGTGCGCCACTCATGGCTACTATCAGCGAGCGCAGCATCGGCCAGCGTCAACTCGAGTCCCTCCTGGGGAAGCTCACTTTTGCTGCCCGAGTCATCGTTCCTGGACACACATTCATGCGTGAACTATGATCAGCGTGCCCTGAACTGTATCTGTGTATGCGAGTGCGGTGCATAAAGCCCACCTTGAGAATGGGTTTGCCGGCCCCTTAGTAGATGCGTGGCTTCTGGAGGGTGTTGAAGGGCATCCAGCGATGCCATGGTACGGCTGTACTCACCCCTCGCCTTCCCATAACTATGCCAATCCTACGACACCTGACGGATGCACGCCGGAAAAGTAGTATCCTGAATGGCCATGACAAGCTGCTCTACCAAGCCGCCATGCTGCTTCTTTGGATTTCTTCGGTGTGCTGAATTCACTAATGGCATCACACGGGGCTGTACTAGCTCCCCTGGTGACGGACGCCTGCAACTCTTCCTGCTTTCATCCAAGACGGACCCATTCGGTAAAGGCGTTACTAGTGACATTGGCCCGTCTGTACCGCCGTACTGCCCGGTCCGTGCCATTGTTAGCTACCCATTTGTCACTCGTCGCGAGGGACCAGAGCAACTCTTGTTCGTACTCTCGAACAGACAGCAGCTGACCAGGCAGTCATTCACAGTAACAGTATGGTCTCTTGTCGCTGCGGCCGGTGTACCATCCCAGTCGAACTACTCCGGGCATTCGGTCTACATTGGTGCAGCCACCACCGCTGCTATGGCTAGTGCCCCGACTCCTTCTTCCGAGTGGCAGGTCAGTGGAAAGAGCGATGCGTGTCTATGCTACATCCGGACTACAACAAGCGCTAAGCACCAGCTATCGTCCCGGCTTGCTGCCGTGCCATGGATGCCATGATCCCCAACTCGGGTGAGTAATGAGCTACTGAACTCTAGCTGCGCAATGCTTGCCTGTGCTGACATAAATTGACCCTTGCTGTGCGTCAATAGTGCTTAGCTAACGGAGTGCTGGTTTCATGGGTCCACTCTCACAACTGGTGTTATCTAGCTATTTGCTGCGGCTCTGCCTTGCGCTATATTACATCCATTTAGCATTGCAGCTCTACGTTGAGCTAACAGCAGCTCTACTTTGAGCTAACAGCAGCTCTACTTTGAGCTAACAGCAGCTCTACTTTGAGCTAACAGCAGCTCTACTTTGAGCTAACCGCAGCTCTACTTTGAGCTAACAGCAGCTCTACTTTGAGCTAACCGCAGCTCTACTTTGAGCTAACCGCAGCTCTACTTTGAGCTAACAGCAGCTCTACTTTGAGCTAACAGCAGCTCTACCTTGAGCTAACAGCAGCTCTACTTTGAGCTAACAGCAGCTCTACTTTGAGCTAACAGCAGCTCTACTTTGAGCTAACCGCAGCTCTACTTTGAGCTAACAGCAGCTCTACTTTGAGCTAACCGCAGCTCTACTTTGAGCTAACAGCAGCTCTACTTTGAGCTAACAGCAGCTCTGCTCTGAGCTAACAGCAGCTCTGCTCTGAGCTAACAGCAGCTCTGCTCTGAGCTAACACCAGCTCTACTTTGAGCTTCAAACCAGTTGTTTCGAAACCAGCACTCCTCAATCCAAAGATGCCTCTTTGTTGACTTGTTTGTGTGAGGGATGGGGCTAATGGTGTACTAGCTGTGCTAGTACTTGTTAGCAACAATCCGAACTAGCGCACACACTGCACTGCATTGCTTTGTACTGCATTCAAGACTGACGTCATGCGCTTTGTTTTGCTGCGTAATCACAAATGGCACCTGCCCATTTTGCGGAAAAGAAAAACAAATCTTGCTTGCCCTGTTGTGCTCTTCCAGACAACGGATCGTGCTTCAGCAGTGTTTCTTTTCCCACCATCCCTCCCTATCCAACTTATTCACACCATCATAATTATCGTACCCACTAATCGGGTCCACTCTCACAACTGGTGTTATCTAGCTATTTGCTGCGGCTCTGCCTTGCGCTATATTACATCCATTTAGCATTGCAGCTCTACGTTGAGCTAACAGCAGCTCTACTTTGAGCTAACAGCAGCTCTACTTTGAGCTAACAGCAGCTCTACTTTGAGCTAACAGCAGCTCTACTTTGAGCTAACCGCAGCTCTACTTTGAGCTAACAGCAGCTCTACTTTGAGCTAACCGCAGCTCTACTTTGAGCTAACCGCAGCTCTACTTTGAGCTAACAGCAGCTCTACTTTGAGCTAACAGCAGCTCTACCTTGAGCTAACAGCAGCTCTACTTTGAGCTAACAGCAGCTCTACTTTGAGCTAACAGCAGCTCTACTTTGAGCTAACCGCAGCTCTACTTTGAGCTAACAGCAGCTCTACTTTGAGCTAACCGCAGCTCTACTTTGAGCTAACAGCAGCTCTACTTTGAGCTAACAGCAGCTCTGCTCTGAGCTAACAGCAGCTCTGCTCTGAGCTAACAGCAGCTCTGCTCTGAGCTAACACCAGCTCTACTTTGAGCTTCAAACCAGTTGTTTCGAAACCAGCACTCCTCAATCCAAAGATGCCTCTTTGTTGACTTGTTTGTGTGAGGGATGGGGCTAATACTCTTTTAGCCCCATCCCTCACACAAACAAGTCAACAAAGAGGCATCTTTGGATTGAGGAGTGCTGGTTTCGAAACAACTGGTTTGAAGCTCAAAGTAGAGCTGGTGTTAGCTCAGAGCAGAGCTGCTGTTAGCTCAGAGCAGAGCTGCTGTTAGCTCAAAGTAGAGCTGCTGTTAGCTCAAAGTAGAGCTGCGGTTAGCTCAAAGTAGAGCTGCGGTTAGCTCAAAGTAGAGCTGCTGTTAGCTCAAAGTAGAGCTGCGATTAGCTCAAAGTAGAGCTGCTGTTAGCTCAAAGTAGAGCTGCTGTTAGCTCAAAGTAGAGCTGCTGTTAGCTCAAAGTAGAGCTGCTGTTAGCTCAAGGTAGAGCTGCTGTTAGCTCAAAGTAGAGCTGCTGTTAGCTCAAAGTAGAGCTGCGGTTAGCTCAAAGTAGAGCTGCGGTTAGCTCAAAGTAGAGCTGCTGTTAGCTCAAAGTAGAGCTGCGGTTAGCTCAAAGTAGAGCTGCTGTTAGCTCAAAGTAGAGCTGCTGTTAGCTCAAAGTAGAGCTGCTGTTAGCTCAACGTAGAGCTGCAATGCTAAATGGATGTAATATAGCGCAAGGCAGAGCCGCAGCAAATAGCTAGATAACACCAGTTGTGAGAGTGGACCCGGTTAGTGGGTACGATAATATTATGATGGTGTGGATAAGTTGGATAGGGAGGGATGGTGGGAAAAGAAACACTGCTGAAGCACGATCCGTTGTCTGGAAGAGCACAACAGGGCAAGCAAGATTTGTTTTTCTTTTCCGCAAAAATGGGCTGGTGCCATTTGTGATTACACAGCAAAACAAAGCGCATGACGTCAGTCTTGAATGCAGTACAAAGCAATGCAGTGCAGTGTGTGCGCTAGTTCGGATTGTTGCTAACAAGTACTAGCACAGCTAGTACACCATTAGCCCCATCCCTCACACAAACAAGTCAACAAAGAG